TTCTTGGACGGTTTATATGCTCTAGATCAGGTTCAGTATCCGAACTTTCAGTCCAATTGGTCTGCGTTGGATGGGACATTTGAGCTGCGCGTGGGTTGTCAAAATCTAAAAATGCAGACTTTTGTTTCAAAACTTTCGCCCAGTTAAGATTTTGTAATGACGGCTTCTACGTGAGGTTTCTGAGGACCTAATTGGCCTCCCGGCCGTGATGTGCCTCGAATAGCATGATTTTTATTATAGCGTTGGGTGAAACTTTAGAGCGCTCAGAGTGCGTTCTACCGTTGATTTGAGATTTCCGTGATCTTTTTCCTCTGGATAGGTGTCAAACTTGTTTGCGCGTCCGTGATGAAAGCTGTGTATGCGGCTTAAAACGGTTTTCCTAAGCGGTTGAATGATTACGAGTCGTTTGTTCATCCATAAGCAATTCTCCCTGACGCGAAAGTCGTGCGTATGCTGGCCCCGATAGGCCCCCCTTGCGCAGACTTTCCGCTCCAGATCAGGGTCATTTTGCCTCCGCCAAATCCTTAATTGCTCTCATCTGAGAGCCCCCTTTTCTAAGTTACCTCAATTAGTTTCAGGCGGAACAGTTTGGGTAGGGCATCATTCTTCCTGACGATTTTAGTCCCGCGGAATGACCGACATCATCACATTCGCCGAATACGCTGGTGGAAAAATCTTGCTCCCAAACGCCTATGGAAAGGAAATAACTGTGTTACATTTGAGGTTTCTCGATCCCGTTGTAACTGTCTCCCATCTCGCGTCCACGAATTCGATTTCGCTCTTGCTCTCACTTGTGATTTCTAAGTGTTTGTAATAATAGTTTGTTGAATTCTTAATAATGATACTCGCTATAGGAAATTTACAAATAGTACTAGTTGGCGATACTTCACCGACTGGGTGTCTTGTTAGATAGTCTGCCGAACGCATTTCCGCTGCAGGTATGTGTTCGATTTTAAAATCAAATGGAATTATTCTATCGTTCCATCATGTTAAACGGCAAAACATAGTTTACTTTTCTTTTTAATTCCATTTGGCAATGTCAATAGCGCCTTATGAGCCGTTAAGACTGTAAAATGCCTAAAAAATGTAAAAATTCTCAAACATTCTGAGCACCATAGAGCTGCTAGCATTTTCAGTTCGTTTGTAGAATACTTATCCTCCGCCGCGTTTAGGAAACGAGATGCAAAAGAGATCGGCTGCCATCCTTCGGATCCAAGTTGTTCGAGGACGGCCCCGAGGCCATTATGGCTAGCATCACAAACGATCCGTATATCCTTATGCACGTCAAATTGTTTTAATTCTTCGATGTTTTCCACTTGCTTCTTTAGTAATTTGAAGGCCAATTGGCATTCGTTTGTTCGAAATCATTTTTCATACTCAATAGTGGCTGCAACGACATTGAGTGTTCCGCGATTTCTGGCAAGTCTTTGTGATGACGATGTATATAGATCCCATCCAAGATTAACGCTGTGACAGCGATTTGAGGGTGTTTAATTTATCGATGGAGTCCGTTTTGCGTACCAACGGAATAATGCCAGAATTCGTGATTCGGTGATTCAACGATTCACACTCATTTCTCGCAAATTTACATATTTTGAATTTCAGCGCAATATTTTCCTCGTCCATTTTTTCCGGATTTTATCGACCAGCGCGATATGCTCGATTTCGGAACCTATCGATGTTAGTAAGATGTCATATATGAAAGCGTGTGCGCATGGAATTTCTGAAGGTATCGCGTCCATGACACGTTGAATTTCCGCCGGCATTGTTGTTAAACCATGGAAACCCGTTTTAAAGCGATACTTCCCAGTAAATTTACCTTCTACCAACGAAAAGTTGCAACATTTGTTGGTGTCGGTCTTTTGTGGTAGTCGGCCGTCCATCGTTGTAGAAAACTCATCCCCATTTTTCCGTTCGCTTATCGTTTGCCCCAAAAAGTTCATGAGCTCTTCAATTTTTGGGATCTGGAACTTGTTTTTATGAACTTGCTTATTTAATTGTCTTGATTCCAAAGCTATTTTTACCAAACCGGCCTTCTTAACCGCGATGAAGATCGGTGAGACTCAGAATTTGTCAGAGCACCCCTTCAATTTCTCTATGTATCCTTCAGCCAGTAGCTTATCTCTTTTGCTATCTACGTTATCCTGCTACTCTACGTTCTTCTGCCTTTCTATTGGATTGACATTAAATTTTTGAAGAGTTCAACTTGAACTTTATAGTTACGTATACGCCCTATCCTGTGGAAAAGGCCACGAGATTGCTCATTGAATTGTTTTTGCCAGTCATCAAGATCATCTCCCCAGACATCGGCGTCTAGTTACCCCTGGATATTGAGCACTCCTTGTTCCGCTGCCGCCTGAGACATTATCAGCCCCAGTGCCAGGATCAGATCCCGACAAATGATGGATGGTGGACAGCTCCCAACTACATTGATAGATGCATTGATAGTGGAGGGCCGCGACTAGTTTTCCCATAAGCTTTATTGGGTTGTTTCCAAGTTTTCATAGTAGGTTTTAAACGATTTGTTTGTTCCTTTCCTTTTTGAAGACGCTCTCGAACTCTTCAACTACTCTAGTAACTGCCAAATCCCGGTGGGACTTCCGATTATGAAGTTCGTCCTAGCCCCGCTCCCCTAAGCATAGATTTAAGTTAGAAATAAGTGTTTGATCCACCTCCAGGCGGTTTTTTCTTTCCACGTCCGCCGGCAGCGACGCAATTTGAGTTGCACTCAACGTCCGAGTGAAATGAATTGCCATCGGAAAGAAAGTAGGTTTCGCTATAACCCCACAGGTAAAACGAAGTATCCAGTGTTCCCATAGCATCGGTGCCTCCGCGCACTTACTCGGCCAAAACGCCGTAATTCCGAGTGGGTTTTTCCCCAGCCCCGCGCCTTATCCTGCGCCACGAGGAAGAGGCTCACTCGATATTTTTATTCTGAATTAATAGTCTCCAACTTAATATCAGATCATAGCGGCTTCAACTGTTTTAGCTTATACACACTTTGAATATCAGCTGGAAGGTACTTAATTAATTCAATCCAGAATCGCAGACAGCACCGGTGACGCCAATAAACAAACTCAAAAAACATTACAACTAAACTCAAACTATCCATCCTATCAAATTTATAGATACGATAGCTCTATAGTACACTTGTGCGGAGGTCAAATTTGCATCTTATTCAAGCTTTTTTAGCCATTTGATTCAAAAATTGAAACTATTTTAAAACAATCTTGTCGAGAAACCTGGTTAATATAGCAGAGCCACAAATACTATACAGTCATACAGAGACTATTGCAAGTTAATCAAACTTTTGTGCGGGGATTAAGTGAGTATGAATTAAGAACGCTTCTAGCCGTGATATTCAAATTGATGTAAGCTTTCTTCTTTTGTCGGTAAAGGTGGTCCAAAATTTTTGTTCAGACTTTCGTAACAAATTTACGGAAAATACGTGCTCGGGTTAAGTTTTTGTTCCTTCAGACAAAATTCAAATTTTCAAGTAGCCATTTTTTACGGACTTTTTTTGTATCATTCAAACAATATGGTTGTCCTGAGCTTCAATTTGAAAAATTATTTCACCTTTGATCATTTTTCGTAAATTTGTGGGGGTTCAATTGTGCCATTTTGGCCAATTTGGGAAAATTACCGCGCGATATATTCTGCGATATTAACCTGTAAATGTAGCCTCAACCCTAGCCCTAAACCTAATCCGTCCTAAAAATTGCTCCAAATTGATTGAAAGAAGCTTATTTGCCGTAATTGATTTGTTACAAAGAACGAAATCAATTCTTTTGTACTTTATATGGCGTGTGAGGGGCTGTTTTCACAAAAAACCTCTGTTTTTTTTAAAATAGTTTTAATTCATTAATTTCAGTTTTCCCTTGATATTACTGCTCCATAGACCTTGAAAGGCAGTCGGAACATTCAGGGCTTCTCCATGGTTTGAGCAGTCTTTTTACGATTCATAATCAAACTTATCAAAGCAGGACAATAAATTCTTATTGTTACATTACTAATTTATCCCCATACAATTTTTTATGAAGCTTCTAAGACACCAAAAAAAATCAACCACACCAAATTCATTCCCTATCTTTTGATCAAAAACTGTCAGAATAGAAATTTTAGTCATCATTTGTTTTTTGCCAATAAATTCTTAATAAATCTGCAGTCAATCCCATTCAATTGGACTTTCCCAATTTATCCCTACACAATTTTTTATGAAGCTTCTAAGACCACCCAAAAAATTCAACCACACCAGACTTCATTCCCTACATTTTGATCAAAATATGTCAAAACAGAAATTTTAGTCATCATTTGTTTTTTTGCGAAGAAATTATTAATACATCTGCAGTCAATCCCATTCAATTGGACTTTCCCAATTTATCCCCATACAATTTTCTATAAGTTTTCCAAGATCACCCAAAAAAATTAACCACACCAGACCTCATTCCCCATCTTTGGTCAAAAACTGTCAAAACAGAAATTTTAGTCATCATTTGTTTTTTGCCAATTTATTTGATTCAACAATCACTGTAACACGTGCATTATTGTGTTAACAGGGCCAAACACGTACATTGCTGATTTCAATTATTCAGAGTCGATGATTAAAACTTGAAAATTAAAACGCGTTTAAATATTGAGGACAAAACTTGCTCAGAGTTTCAGCTTTCAAAACGTTCAGAACTAAAGTGGTGCTTGTTTTTGCAATGACATGGTGTGTTGTGGAAGAAGATTTAAGAAATTAATTTTCCACTCCACGTTTCAGTAGTTTTTTATTGTTTTGGATTATCAACAGCGGTGTTTTATGTGTCAATTTAAAAAAACTGTCAAAATTATTTCGGAAAAATTTAGGATCAAACATTGTTTTTATTGTTTTCTAACGCGCTCTTGCAATGATTTCTTTTGTTAAATCATCCTTTGCTATTTGCAGAGTATTCAAATAGTATTTTAACTAAGTTGAGTTTCATAAATCGCGGTCAAAGTCTCCACCATTGCTATCTTACCGGGGGTGATTTGACTGTCTCTTCATCCGGATGATTATCACTGATGTCACCACAATGTACAAAGCGAGTATCGCAGCCGTAGCGATGAACAGAAGCTTGAACGGGTCAAGATTCGATCCGGCGTCCTTTGTGGCTGCATCTCCTACAACTACTTGAGATTGGTCTATAAAATGATTTAAAAAATAGTATTCGCGTTAAAAAATCGCGTTTTTTCGATGCGCACTCCCCCTCAAATTTAGTATGATTAGGCGCCAAAGGCGCCTTTGAAAAACTTTACGGTACCTCATGGAAAATAGATATCTCAAAATAGTACAAAGGGGGTCAAATCCCTGAGGGAAAAACATCCGCTCCCCCCCCCCTAAATCCGCTACTGTTTTTACCTGTTCTTAAATTGTGCGTATACTTGAACGGCAATTTATCGTTGTACAGGTAGATTTCCATCTCCATCAAATAATCTCGAGATGGTATCAAGTTATTCACCCAAAAAGCACAAGTAGCTTCAGCATTTGGACACTTTGATGCCCAAAATATCCCAGTGTCAAACAAACTGTAGCGTATGCCACCTGGGTCTTGCATGGCGATCTAAATTGTAGGAAAATTATTATATGAGCTAATTTTTTGTGTGAATTAATATCTATAGAATCAGAGAAACAAATTTTATTCCGAATTGAAAACTGGTCAAGAAAACGAAGTTGGCTCTCTTCTCCCTTCGGCTAGTAAAGACAGTACAGTATTGAGATGTACTTTAATTGCCATATTTTAATTATAATTCTTGGAGTGATCAGTTTTGTCATAAAATGCAAGATAAAATTAAGAAATATTGTTCATACATGATCATTATTAGCTAATTCTTTCGCATATTTCGATATTTTACTTGATATCAAAATTGTTTATAAAGTTTCGAATCAAGAAGAAACTCGGAGTAAGGGCGGATGAACTAACCGTATACTTGAAATGGAATTCGGATCGCTTCGGAAGTTTGTCGTCTTTCAGTTTCAACTCACAAGATGTCTCCTCGCAACGTGACTGAAGTTCAATGTCAAATCCTTTCTCTGCGAATAAACAGTTTAATTAATAGCTAGTTAAAAATCGTACCAGAATAGTCTTTTCTATGACTTTTATGCACTTCAAGTACTTGCAAATATGCATGCACACAGGGGCGTATCTAAGTTTTTCTCGGGGTGTCCGGTTTTCCAAAAATGTTCGAAATCTTGCGATATCTTTTTTGAGGTCGACTAAATTGATTTTCCGAGCTCTCCTAAATCACTAAAAAGACCCTGTTTTGACCAAAGTCTATTGGTCTGTTTGTTAGAATATCAATCAACCTTTGAAATGCTAAAAACCTTTTTTCATCCTCTCCCTCCCTCCGCCTTAAAATTGTAAGGCTACCATTTTCTGAAAATTTTTACATGCTCTTATGGCTAAATGAGTAAAAGAGCCAATTTAAATTGAGTCGCGTGAAAGAACCGTTTCAGTTTAGTAGTTTTTTTTACCATTATCAAGGTGATAGTCGAACTCCACGGCTTCGGAAATTTCGGTCGATGCGCTTGTATAAAATTCAATCGTAGCAAGTGAGCCATGATTGTGATTGGAATTAAAGTTGAAACATGCAATCCCAGACTCTTGCTAAAACAATAATATCAAAAATGTGGATTGAGTTATTTGACGAGGTAGGGCGACAATTCGTAACAGGCGACAATTCGTAACAAGCTAAAATTCGTTACAAGCGAAAATTCGTAACAAGGCATTGGCAAGGAGAATACGCTTGCTCCGCTGCGCGTTCATCCGGCACGAGAGGAATATTGCGCGTGAATCAGTGTTCCCTGCTGAACCTACTGTTACGAATTGTCGCTTTTTATGAACTGTCGCTTGTTACGAATTGCCGCTTGTTACGAATGATCGCCTGTTACGAATTGTCGTCTCACGATTTGACGAATTGTCCTGTGAGTTACAAAGGCTGCATATAGGATATAATCAGTTGATTAAAAGTTTCTACGCCTCGCCAAATCAAATTTTTTTAAGGTTTAGACAACAAATTGCGAAAAATGTACACCAGCCATAATTTGCAATTTTGCATTTAAATTCCGCATTTGCAAGATAAAACTTTTAGCTCTAGCTTTCAATTGTTCACACGCACGTGCTAGCTTAATTTTTTAAATTATGTCAGTTTTTTTGTGGGCCACGACCGAAACTTTCTAACAGTTCATTCTCATTATCTTTCATTATTTTATTCTTATTTAGTGCGAATAATTCAATCTAGTTCGCTGACAACAATTTAGTCCAGGCTAATTCAGTCTCAACCACTACCAATAATCAAATCTCATTTACTGACAACAGTCGATTCAATCCAGCTAGATTCCACCACCTAAACATCATATACTTTAACAATTAAAGCCAACTGATATAAGCTACGTCATGGTTTGTTCATTCAAAATTTTCAGTTCATTTTGGCCTTTTAGACAATTTGCTGAGTCCACTTACGTTTGCATTTTGTTGAGATGTTGTTTTATTACTTTCTTTTCTTAATGAATCTTGCATTACGAGGCCAAACTGTGCTCTATATGGAGGCACAATTTGCTGTCTGTAGGTCAGTGGAATGCAGAGGCAACACGACTTTAATCATGTTTCAAAAAATAAATGGATTCCACTTGCAAAATGTTCGTGGATGTCGCGTAAGAATACCTGCTACGTAATTTTTGTCGACACATTTGTTTTTTTTTGCGAACTCCACAAGCAGCACATATAGCTTGTTTTCTGTTCGGCAACTGTAAGAAGATTGCAAAATTGCGAACTCGCAATCCTCTTGCCAATTTTGCAAATTTCAGCTAAATTTTCCGAATCCCCTTATTTTTTGAGGAATATTCATAAAGTTGCCGAACAGAAAACAAGCTATATTTGCTGCTTGCGGAAATCGCAAAAAAAAAACAAATGTGTCGACAAAACTTACGTAGCAGGTATTCTTACGCGACATCTACGAACATTTTGCAAGTGGAATCCACTTATTTTTTGAAACATGATTAAAGTCGTGTTGCCTCTGCATTCCACTGACCTACAGACAGCGAATTGTGCGTCCGTCTAGATCACAGTTTGGCCTCGTAATGCGAGATTCATTAAGAAAAGAAAGTAATTAAACAAAGTCTCAGCATCGGGAAAAGTCGTTGAAGAAGTAAAATGTTTCAGACTCTTGATAAATCGAATACTACAAGCATGTTACATCGTTCAAGGTAACAATGTTTCCATCAAAAATGCCAATCTTATCCAAAGGAATATATAGACAAAACTGCCTTAAGTGCAAAAAGATATGATTGGAGAACTGAAGCAGAAGAGGCGAAAGCCGAGAAAAGTCAATCAAGTTTGATCAAAATTGAGGAAAGGCAACAGATTTTTTCACAGCCAAACACAGTTGAGGACATTGAAAGAGGACATCAGTGAACGCAACCCGTACTGACAAAATCGGATTGGGATTGATTTTAGAATGAAAAAATAACTTTGGTTGAATTTAGATCGATTTTAGTATGAAAAAAGTACGAAGACAAAATAAAAAAGATGAAGATTGATTTGGATTGATTTATAATCTATTTAAATTGATCTTAAATCCCAGCTAAAAAATTGATTCAATCAATTTTAAATCAATTTAAATGCATTTTTCCAGTCTGAATTTAATTTTATTTTTTAAGGAATCAAAATGGATTTAAGTCAATTTAAATGATTTTTTTTATTCGAGTTTTATTAGTTTCGAATTTTTATTGCATTTGTTCATTGCCTATCAGTTTTCATTTTACAGCCATAGCGTTTTGTAGCATAAAAAAAACAAATAAAAAGACCGAAATGTCGATAAAACTCTATGCTTTTCTTGCATATTTTGGGTTCAAAAACTGATCTATATCAACACTTTTCTTGATTGGTTTTATAAGTTTTGACCAAAATCTGGTTTATCTTCATATTTTTCTATGATGTAATTGCATATTAATGAGATCAAATTTTAATTTATTCTGACCTTTTTCTTGCTTGTTACATAGGAGTTTGCAAAATCTGATTTACAATAATTTTCTGTTATTTTGAGTCGGAAAATCCAACCAAATCGATTTAAATCGATTTTTTAGACACTTATATCGATTTAAAATTTTCAAAACGATCAATTCAAATCGATTTAAAATCCATTTAAGTTCGTAAAATTGAAAATCGACTTAAACTCAATTTAAATCGAACCATTTTTGTCAGTGCGGGATTGCTCAATACCTATACACACCGCATCACCTAGGGTCGCACAGATGCGCTCTTATTTTACAGTAGAAGTAATTTGTGTGTTATATATAGATAGTGCTAGTTGCTTCAACTAAATTTCATGCAAACCATTCATAAGTGTTACGTTTTGAAGCTCGTTAGGACCACTCGACCTCTTAAAAGTCACGATTCGTTGCGTGTTTCAAATTGTCGCCCATTAGAACTGTCGCTTCTCGCTCTGAGACAACACCGCTTACATACAAATGTGATTGTAAGAATTGCAAAACAATTTTCAAATCGGTTTGCTGAAAACATTTCGCTTTTTTTCAATTTAACAAGTTTTTCTATTGGTCCTGGAAAACTCGCGACCATGTTCAGATATGCTGAAGAATCTAATGCTAAAAGTTAACACCATGTTCAGATATGATAAAAAAAAGTCCTTTCGTATCACGAGAGAAATGGCATATATCTAAAACAAAATGATTGAGTATATCTGAAACATTTATTAAACAGTTTAACCTGGGGCTCTACGTCGGATTCCCGAACTTGAAGCTTAATTGCTGCAACTACTCTGTTATAGTTGGTCAAGCTCTTGTCGAAGTTCCACATGACACACATCAGACTGGCATTTTGGAAAAACACTTCTGGCTTAGATGTATCACTGTGCAACCCTGAAATAGTTTCTTTATAATACCAATTCGAAGAAATTAAACTGATAATTATTTCTTATAATGATGTTTATTCTGCAAACTTAGTAAACAGACATTTGCAAATAATCAATGAACGCAAGAATATCTATCGAACTTTAAATCTTTTAAACAATGTTCCAATTTGAGAAAACTGAATTAGTATTTAATGTTTTATTCGCTGGAATAGCTTTAAGAAAAAACAAATTCCACTGTCGAAACTCTAAGTTGTTCGCATTTTTTGCTTCATTTTGCTTTCAAAAAAAAGAAAAGGTAACTTTCTTTCCTTTTAGCGAACAAGTTTGAATTGAACATATAGAGAGTTGCAAAAAGTTCGGACAGACAGAAATAATTAAAAAGAGCAATCTGCCAATTTTGAGCAATTTTTGCATGCAAATTTGAATTTTTAGGTGACATTGAGACAAACTTTCAGTCTGAAAAATTAGCTTTTGCATGCAAAAATTGTCTGAAAAAGGTCATTTGCTCTTTTTAATTAATTCTGTCAGTCCGAACTTTTTGCTACTAATTATAACAATAATCAAAAGTCACACCAAAAAAGGCTAACGTAAGAGGTAAACATAATTTGAGAGTTTTTCGCGACAAAAAAATACTTAAAAAAACTGAATATTAGTTTCTTCAGTTTTTTACTATTAAAAATTTGGACACCTAATAAAAAAAAACAAATGAAATTTAAATTATTTTCCACTTATCTCACCCCTCTCTCTAATCCCCCACGGCCTTTTGTTTTTTTAAATTGCTAACTGCTGATTGCTTATTGCAATCAATTAAATTGCTGATTGCTTAATGCTATAATCTATATAATGCTATAATATATACTAAAAAGACGCTGTTTTGGCAAAAATTTCTGCGTCGCCAGCAATTTAAAAAAAAAACAGGTTAAAAAAGCCGTTTTTTGTCAATTTTTGGAGAATTTTGACAAAAAAAAAATACTTTTTTTTTTGGAGCGCGCTCCCCCTCGAAATTGGTATATTGACTTTTCTTTCCTCCCTTTGGTACTTTTTACAAAATCCACGTTTAGGTCAATTGACCATAAAGTTTTTCTGAAGGCGCCTACGCCGCCAATATATAACAATTTTGAGGGGGAGCGTGCGCCACAAAAAAGGATTTTTTTTGTCAAAATTTTCAAAGAAATGCCCAAAAACGGCCAAAACAGCGTCTTTTTAGTGTTTTAGAAGAGTTCGGCAAATCAATTTGGTCGACCTAAAAAAAAACGTCAAAATTTTCAAATTTTTTTTGAAAAGCCGCCCCCCTGCCCCGTCGAGAAAATCCTAGATCCGACTCTGTGCGTTAGCATCGAATGGATATCTCATAATAGTACAAGAGAGACCCAAATCTGCCCCTGTACATCTATCTATATCTATATCTATATTTATATATATATTTTTATTTATATTTATATTTATATTTATATATATAAAGTATATATTTTTATCAATACACATACAGATATACATACAGCATTAAGCAATCAGCAATTTAATTGATTGCAACAATAAGCAATGAGCAATTAGCAATTCCGTGGGGGATTAGAGATCACCTGAGACATCCACGCCGCACCTGAACCAAATCCCTTCAACCAGAAACACTGCACCAACTCCCCCCCCCCCCCCCCCCCACCGAAACCACCGGCGAGGGGTTTGTTGTAACTAGGTAAATAGGCAAACGTTAGTGGGGGGGGGGGGGTGGGGGGGGGGGGGGAAGGGAAGGGAAAAGGGATTAGTCCAGCTCCAACTTTACCCTCCCCCAGACCTCCCCCCCCCCCCCCCCCCAAAGTTTCTAATAATTTAACAAAATTGTTGAAAAGAAAAAAATTGAGTTTTTGGGTTACATAAAAAAGTAACAAAAATATCAAAAGTTAGGCAGAAAAAAAAACTTCATTAAGCAACAAGTAACCAATGTAACCAACTTTAATTTAAAACCTAGAAAAAACTTTGAAATTCTCACTAAAGTGGAAAACAATCGATTATAATTTCGTTTAATTGTCAGTGTCCACAAAAGTGGGAAAACAATCAATTATCATGGATCAAAAAAATTTTTTGTTGCCTCGAAAATTAGTAATATTATATTATAACCCATTTTCGAAAGATTATAATCAATTTGTTTTCACTTTAGTGGATATTGACACGGAAAGCCAATTATAATCGATTTTTGTTCTTGGAACTCCAATGCGGGTAACTTTGAAGGGGATGCGCGCGCCGAAAAACGCAAATTTTTGGTCACAATTTTCCAAACGCGTTTTTTCAAAGTTTTGCCTGCGGCGCACAAAAGTTGGCCCAAACAAGTTTCGGTACAATTTTTAATCAATTTCAAAAGCACGTCAACAGCAATTTTTGTCAACCGGTGTCTATACAACTACCTACTAACAAGACAAAAATGCGTATTCAAAAATATCATTGAACCAATATGAACCACTATATGAGATTTTTTATTAAAATTTCATTGATTTTTGGGGTCTATTTTTAAACACCTCCTATTATATACCCTTACCCAAATTTCAGACAACTGGATCAATGGGTAAGTTTTTTCCGCTGGGAAATCTAAAAATTAAAATCCTTTTTCGAAACTAGAAATTGATCAATAGTTTCTGCACCCTTTCTGCTTTCGTATTTGGAGAGAACAATTTGCTTACATTTTTGCAAAAGAATTGAAATGAACTCCTAAAGATCCTTTATACATAGCGCATTCATTAGTGCATTAATATTTAAGCGAAAACCAATTTCGCTCTTCTGCGCTTTAACTGGGTTATTTGGTCCAGGAACGGGGTTTTCAGTTCTGAAAGCTTTCATCCGGCTTGATCTGGTACTAGGGATTTTTTCTGGAGCTTTGATTCACCAGCGTAATTTTTAAGCCAATGATTTCCAATCATCATGTTTTGAAACTATACAACTGGAACATAATGTTTGGTGAAGTCCCATTTTTTCACTCTGTTGTATCCCGATACGTTTTTTTTTCTGACAGCAGATTCAAAAAATGGGTAACTCACTTGTGATTACATTGGCTTCTTTAGACTGAAAACTTTTCTCTCCATTTTCAGTCACACTCCACACATTAATTTGATACTCCGTACCAAACTTTAAAAAGTTCAACACCGAACTCGACCCTTTTCCTACAGTTACAGGAAAGCCAGCGTTTCCGCTCTGCAGAAATTGTTCACTATCAGACAGAACTTCTGGTGATTTCATTAATGCAGTGATCTCGTAGTGACTGAAGAAGCCTTCAAGAGGGGGTTGAGGTGTAAATTCGAATGACCTGCCGTCGCTTCCTGGGGTTTCAGTCACTATAACCTCACTTGGCGGCAGGGGTGCTGAAAACAGTTTTGCAGCTATTCACATCCGGTTTAATTTTTTTAAAATGCTTCTTAAAGATCAATTATCACTTAGAGCTGGATCTGGCGAATGAAAAAGTCAACTTAATCATCATGCAGATTTAAAAGACAATTAAATTTGTCACGACTTTTCGTTTCTGGTTACACTCATAGCTTGAAACCAACCGGTGGTTTGAGTCAGTTGTCCTTCAGTGGACTTCGCCGCTCCTGCTTCATCCGCGACTGTCCATATTTGGAAAGTGTACTCATGGCCAGGCTCCAAATCGGAAGCTACAAACCTCAGATAGCTTCCGCTAAAGAAACAAACAAAACTATCCATATACGTGATCACAAAATATTGTTTTTAGACGCAACACTGGAAAAGTTGACAGTCCTCTCATAAAAGACTCTGCAGTTATAAAATTATCAGAGTTTTTTTGCCATATTTTGGCAATGAGAGCACCGAATGAGATGACCAATAATTAAGCTTACATTGTTTTTTCGATCAAATTTCCTGATGAATCGACATAGGATAACACGAATGCCCTGAAGAAACCGACGGTTGGTGGACGCCAGGATAATTTGATGGTATTACTGTCATAGAAGTAGACCACGAAGTCCACAACAGCGTTGGGAACTGAAAGAAAGAAATACACTGGACAAAAAATGATAGACGAACTGATTACTTTTGAAAAATTTTCTTAGGCACTACAGAATAATATAATTAAGTAGCAAAATTAATTATTAAAAAAAAAGAGAAAATCTTGGATTTTCCTAGATCGGTTGCAGAAAAGAACAAGGATAGTTGGTTGCAGTGCAAGTAGTGCAGAACCCTCCACCCATTACTTTTTTTGCAAATATAAAAAATAGTTTGATAGTGACCATTTGGTACTATTTTAGCTTATCAATTTTCGGCCGGCTGATTCTTAAATTTTTTTACAGGCAACTTGGGCGTCAAAATATACAAAACAAGACATTTTTTTTCAAACTGTTTTTGAAATCCGAATCGTGGATAAAACGGCTCTAACTGGTTACCACATCAAAGAATTGAATAAATTGTAAGCTGGTATGAATGGAACCTTGGTAATGGGTAATTTCTGTCGGATGTGCCTCGGACGCTCCTGTACTTCCATATACGGTGAATTGATACTCGGCCCCTGGTTTCAGACTCTCAACGTGGAAAGCGAGCTGTTCAAAGGAGAAGTCACTCAGATCGACGCAACTGTCACTTTCGCACGACAGATCGGACCTGTTTGTCTCCTTCAACTCCAGTGATATAACAAGAGTTATGTTGTTCTTATCTGTAATCGAAACTAGTTTTACAGTCAGTTACAATATTGGAATATTTCCCTCTTCCCGCCTCAAATCTCAGAAGAATATCGTTTTTTTTATTTAAAAAGTTAAATTTCGTCTTAAGATTTTGCTATTGATCATTTGCCCTCAACTGCCAAACTTCGCAGCAAGTGTCAATACAATTTAATCATGTGAGTTTGTAAGAATCGAGTGTGGAAGGGGTGAGCAGCGGTACTGAGAAGAATACTAAACACTTTTTGTTGATAATGGTGGCGCTCTACCATAAGCGTAATAGCTGATAGATTTTTTTGACATAGCATAGATACAGTAAAAAATTGACTAGGGTACGAAAAGAGCGTTTCATTGTATCGAAAAAATCAAGCATTTACGAACCGACAAAAACTTCCGTCTCCGGAATGACTTCGCGGGCGATCAAGTTCAACGTGGTTGCTGTGGTGTTCTTGGTGATAATGCCTCGAAGCACCAGTCCTTGTTCAAGGTCCAGCAGAATTCTCAACTGGTTATCATCTTGTTTCATCTGATTTGGAACTGAAAAGCAAAAAGCGATTTCAAAAATTAAAATGTTTAGAAAAAACAAAAACTTTTGCTGTTTTGATAGCGGTTTTGCCTTCTCTTTAACTGATTTAACTAAAGTGAAATGAACTGAACTTTAAAAAAATCAAAAGTCAAACCACTGAAAAAATAAAGTTGAGCCTGAACAAATTTGAAGAATAAGAACTTTTAAGATATCGTCATCGTTTTTTAAAAACTGAATCAAGAGGTGTTTTCTTGCCGAGTAATGTGAAAATTAAATTCTGAATTGAAATTATCAGTCTTCGTATCTTTTGGAATTTTATAGTAGAGATTCTAATTTCTCTTTCTAATAGCAAATTAAATTTAATGAGAATTTCAAAACATCAAAATTTCAAAAGCCAAAGTAAAAAGCTGAGCATGTCTATTCGAAAGTTGCAGGTTATTGTGCATGTAAAACATGAAGTTCCGACCACAGTTATCTTGAAAAAAAACTTAAATTATTTTCTTTTTTCTTACTTTTATGTTTTTTTTTGTCTCAAATGGGGTTTGAGGATGTGATCAAAAAACTAAAAATGGGAGTTTACTAAAAAAACTTTAAATTATTTTAAGTATTTTCAGCCTTAATTCCATCAAAACACAAAAAAAAACAATTAAAGAAAAAACATAAATTCACAAACAATTCAACGTTTGCGCACTTTTCTCGTTTTTTGAAAATTTTTAGTCAAATTTATTTCAAAGAAGGCGATAAAAAACCTCAATGGGAAATTATACTGGAGTAAAACCAAGTATTATGTGAGTTAACTACATTTTCGTAGAAAAAAACTTCTGAAAAATTTTCAAAAAACTTTCAATCCATCCGAAGGACTTTCAATTTTGGAAAGAATAACTGAAGACTCACTAAGAATAACAGACACTTAGGGTTTAAGATTTTTTTGATTTTTTTCGCAGCATGTGAACACTTTTATTGTCTTCTGCAACTTTTTCTTATAAAACTTAGATTTTCGTTTGTTTTGAAAACATAAATTCAATTGGGCGAAACTATAAAATAATCAATTATCAGTTTTATCGTGCATATGTGATGAATCTTTGCCAATTTAATTTGAGATCACGAAAATTGTGGGCAGCACAATAAATTAGGATTTTTCGGTCATTTTGGGGACGAAAAATGGTTTTGGTTTAGCAGCGTTAACGACATAACACAAATAACAAAATAGCGTTAACACAAAAAAACCACATCAAACTCTGTTATTTTAGGAACACTAATTATCCAAAAACATTTTTAATTTTTCTTCGTTAAAATTCATATGACAGATTACCATTCAAAACTGTTTTTTTTTTCAAAATACACTGTGCGACATTGGAAACGCATCATCAACAATTTCGCTTAAATCATACTCAAAATGAAAAGGGTGAAAAAAACCGCATAATATTACAAGCTACCGCTTTCAAAGCAATTTTGGTAAAATTTCAGCAGTTGTTGTTCTGACGAGTTTCCTTGTAAGCTTGAAAAAAATTAACTCTAAAATTCACCCGTAAAATCTACTTTTTTCCAAGAGAAAGAGTATGTTTATGGCTGATGGTATGTTTTATTTCCTTGTTCGACTGTAATAGGCATAAATTTCTAGTTTTCTAAAACTCTGAATAAATCAAGGTACTAGAATTAGTTCAGAAAAAAAGTTGGATTAAAACTGAGCTTTTTTTCAATTTGTCGACTGACTTTTTTGTAGAGCTCAATTTCTAAGCCTTTTGTCAAATTTTATCACAGCAACACAACTTTTTTGCAAACTTTCCAGTCAAATACTATAAGAGGTGTTTTTTTTTTTTGAAAGTTTGCCGTTGCGTTTCCAATGTCGCACAGTATGAATTAAATTCAAAACTCTGGGAACTACTTTATAACGCAGTTGATGATAAACATTTTATGATACAATCGCAAAAACCAAAACTCCTTGAGTACATTATTGCAACTAAGTAGTTTTCAAAAAATTTTATTTTTTTTTCTGAAAGCTTGCGATCATGAAACTTTTGACAATCCTTGTGTGAAAACAATGAAGAATTTTTGAGCACGTTTTTCAAAACCGCAAAAAAACGAAATTTACAAAAAAAAGTCCATTAAACCAATGAAACTAAATTCGTACCTTTATGATCTGGAAAAAAACAGTCAAACTTTTTTTTTTCATTTTCTGCAATTTTCCCTGCGCTGCTTCAAATATTGCAAGTGCTGCAATTATTTAATTTATTAGAAAAAAAAGCTAGCTGTTTCTGAGTTTCAGGTAGTTACTGTCATTTTAACAATGTAAATCATACACAAAAGCAGCGCAATTTTGACAGAATTTTTATCAATTTATTTGTTTGCTAAAAAAACTTTGCCATATTTTGTTTAATTGTCTCCTTAGTTGCGTCACCAATGTAGAGCTTCATTTCAAAAAAAAGTGACTTTATCTTTGCGCAATGGTAACAATAAAAATTTTTGCTGAGATATTAGCGCCCATAAGTTCTTTTTATCAGTTAATCTCAAACCAAGGCTAAGAAAATGTTAGTCATCACTAGAAAGGAAAAGTTGTTCAATGACCCGGGTTGACCTCCATACACCAAAATTGCTTATCATACAATTCCATGCAACAAAATTTTTTATCATACACTTCGATACATCAAGTATATAAAAAAATGCTTACCATACAATTTCCATATATGGAAATTGTATGTATGGCATTTTTTGATGGCGACACAAAAATAAAATTTTTCGGGTATTTTTGAAAAATTGCCCCAACGTTTTTTTGTTTTCTTAACCGCAAATCAAATTTTTTACGCAACCAAACTTTTTCCGAGAAAAAAAAAACATTTTTTTTCACGCGAAACATAATTTTTTGAGTGCATAACGTAGTCCTGGGTACGATAATTTTCCTTTAAATTTTATTTTCAAAAACGCTGGAAACTCCTATTTTTTTTGTATGGCTGGTTTATATATGCCTAATTAAGTTCTGGTAAATTAAAAATTCAAAAAATTAAAATAATCTTTATTAAAATCTGATTTTTAGGAACACTAGTTATCAACAAAACATTTGAAATTTTTCTTCGTTAAAGCTTATGTGACAGTTTATCATTCGAAACTATTTTTGTTCAAAATACACTGTGCGACATTGAAAACGCATTATCAAAAATTTCGCTGAAATCGTTCCTCAGAAAAAAGGGTGAAAAAACCGCATATTGTTACAAACTACCGCTTTCAAAGCAGTTTTGGTCTATTTTTATGTTGTTCTGACGAGTTTCCTTGTAAGCTTGAAAACAAAGTAAGTCTGAAATTCACCCGGAAAATCTTCTTTATTCCAAGAGAAAAAGTATGTTTATGGCTGAAATTTCCTGGTATGTTTTAGTTCGTTCTTCGACTGTAATAGGCATAGTTTTCTAGTTTTCCAAAACTCTGAATAAATCAAAATACTAGAATTAGTTCAGAAAAAATGTTTGATTAAACATGAACTTTTTTCAATTTTTTGACTGATTTTTTGTAGAGCTCAGTTTCTAGGCTTTTTTTTCAATTTTTTTCACAGCGACACATCGTTTTTGCAAACTTTCAAGTCATTCACTAAAAAAAGTTTTTTTTTTTTTTGAAAGTTTGCCTTGCGTTTCCAATGTCGCACAGTATGAATTGAATTCAAATTTACTGGGAACTACTTTATAGCAAAACTGCTCATCATACCATTCCATGCAACAAAAATCATTATCATACACTTCTATACATCAAGTGTATGAAGAAAATGCTTACCATACAATTTACATATATGGAAATTGTATGAACGGCATCTTTTGATGGCGACACAAAAAAATTTTCAAAAAATTTTGAAAATTGCACCAACATTTTTTTTGATTTTTTAACCGCAAATCGAATTTGGTGCGCATTGAAACATTTTCCGGAAAAACATTTTTTTGCAGGCGAAATGTAATTTTTTGTGTGCATAACGTAGTCCTGGGTACGATAAATTTCCCTTATAATTTTTTTTTCAAAAACGCTGGAAAATACTATTGTTTTGTATGGCTTGTTTATGTATGCTTGATTAAGGTCTGATAAATTGAAAATTCAAAAATCAAAACAATCATTATTAAAAATTTTGCCAAAAATTAAAAGTTTGATACTTTTGTTATATCATTTGTAAAAAACAGCTTGAAGACAATTCAGGTCGTTTTCTTTGCATTGTAAATGCAAGACCGTCCAACCTTTGCTGCTTTGATTAACCAAGGTCTTTGTCACTCGTGTTCGTTTGAAAACACAACCGAAAATTTGTCAGAAAATAAATTTAGCAACAAAAAACAACTTTTGGCTTATGGAGAAAACACCTATCATACAATTTCCCTTTATAGGAAAATGTTTATTATAGAGTTTTCATACAATTTTTCTGTACGTATGGAATTGTATGGAATTTTATGAAAAGAAAGTTCTCATTTATGAGAATTGTATGATAAGCATTTTTAGCCAACCCGGGGTGTTTTGAAACCGTAATTTTCGGCGTGCACTTTTCCTTCAAAATTATTATGTATTGGTGCCTAAGGCTTGTTTAGAAAAGTTTTAGGGTTGGTTGCCCCCCCCCCCCTCCCAAAAAAAAATAGCTATATAATTAGAGAACAAGTTTTAATTTGAATATTTTCTTTTCTAGATAAAGCATACCTGTATGAGTGAATGTCTGTATGAGTGAATGTCTGTAAAGTTGAGTTCTCCACCTCCCTCCCGTTCATGTTCAAACCCTGTACTTTCACGAAGTGGGTTAGTCCTGACGAAAGTCCTCCGATGGTCTGCGATGTTGTCAAATCGCTGACATCCAAAATTTCGTTCATTCTGGCTATCTCTTCAGGCGTGAACATAGCTTCGACCAACAATGTGACTTGAATCGAAATTTCAATCCTGGTTTTATTCACGCGAGATTCTTCAGAAACGTTTTGATCGAAATTGCGAAGCGAATCCCATGAAACTGTCGTTGATGACGAGGTTGCGTTGTAGGCAAAAGCGTTGCGATCTTCATCGGCTAAGCAAAAAAGCAAAATTCGGCAGCGATGATAATTATTTTTAAAACTAAAAAATACAAACTGGCTTGGAAGGTGATTGTTTCGTTTCCTGACACGCGGCCGTAACTCTCTATTTCTATCTCCAATAAGTATGTTTGACCATCAACAATCTCCTTGGTGATCTGAATGCCTGCAAAACAGTTCATGAAAGGCATACATAAAGCTGATATAACAATAGTATAGCCCATATTGCCTCAAAAGAAAAGCGCCTCAAAGTGATTTTACTGTTTTCGTAAAGTTTTCAAGATGATTTAAAGTAAAGATGCATATTTTTTTTTGATTTTGGTAGATGTTTTTTCAGGTTCACGGAGGTTCAAAAATTAGTACAAAATATGATACTTTGAGCTTTGGTTGTGGAGTATAGTATCCCGTTGATATATACGGAGAAGCCTGTGTAGTATTGGGAGTCCACCTCCCAACTCAGTCCAATCACTCCAGAAGAAATAGTCTGGATTGAGAGGTCAGTAAATGCTGGAAGGCGAGGCACTAAAACATTTTTCAATTTATCGTAGTCATAATTTACGTGCAGTTGTTCAACACCACCCGCAAGGACAAAAAAGATACAAATTGAATATCTACACTCAAAAAAATGTTAAGGTAAAATTACCCTAAATGAGTTAAGGTAAAAAAAATTAAGGTAAAATTTACCCTAAGATTACCTTAACTTTACCTTAAAAATTTGTTAGGGTAAAATTTACCTTAACTGAATTAAGGTATTTTACCTCAATTTAACCTTAATTTTACTTAAAAAATTTAGGAATGCATTTAACTAAACAGGAATAAGGTATTTTAAGATAAACATAGGATCTCGTAGCCCACCTATCAAATTTTCAGTTCAACCATATAAGTGATAAAGTTTTTTCTAAGTATAATTGTATGTATGAATTTTGTATGTATGTATGTATGTATGTATGTATGTATGTATGTATGTATGTATGTATGTATGTATGTATGTATGTATGTATGTATGTATGTATGTATGTATGTATGTATGTATGTATGTATGTATGTATGTATGTATGTATGTATGTATGTATGTATGTATGTATGTATGTATGTATGTATGTATGTATGTATGTATGTATGTATGTATGTATGTATGTATGTATGTATGTATGTATGTATGTATGTATGTATGTATGTATGTATGTATGTATGTATGTATGTATGTATGTATGTATGTATGTATGTATGTATGTATGTATGTATGTATGTATGTATGTATGTATGTATGTATGTATGTATGTATGTATGTATGTATGTATGTATGTATGTATGTATGTATGTATGTATGTATGTATGTATGTATGTATGTATGTATGTATGTATGTATGTATGTATGTATGTATGTATGTATGTATGTATGTATGTATGTATGTATGTATGTATGTATGTATGTATGTATGTATGTATGTATGTATGTATGTATGTATGTATGTATGTATGTATGTATGTATGTATGTATGTATGTATGTATGTATGTATGTATGTATGTATGTATGTATGTATGTATGTATGTATGTATGTATGTATGTATGTATGTATGTATGTATGTATGTATGTATGTATGTATGTATGTATGTATGTATGTATGTATGTATGTATGTATGTATGTATGTATGTATGTATGTATGTATGTATGTATGTATGTATGTATGTATGTATGTATGTATGTATGTATGTATGTATGTATGTATGTATGTATGTATGTATGTATGTATGTATGTATGTATGTATGTATGTATGTATGTATGTATGTATGTATGTATGTATGTATGTATGTATGTATGTATGTATGTATGTATGTATGTATGTATGTATGTATGTATGTATGTATGTATGTATGTATGTATGTATGTATGTATGTATGTATGTATGTATGTATGTATGTATGTATGTATGTATGTATGTATGTATGTATGTATGTATGTATGTATGTATGTATGTATGTATGTATGTATGTATGTATGTATGTATGTATGTATGTATGAATGTATGTATGTATGTATGTATGTATGTATGTATGTATGTATGTATGTATGTATGTATGTATGTATGTATGTATGTATGTATGTATGTATGTATGTATGTATGTATGTATGTATGTATGTATGTATGTATGTATGTATGTATGTATGTATGTATGTATGTATGTATGTATGTATGTATGTATGTATGTATGTATGTATGTATGTATGTATGTATGTATGTATGTATGTATGTATGTATGTATGTATGTATGTATGTATGTATGTATGTATGTATGTATGTATGTATGTATGTATGTATGTATGTATGTATGTATGTATGTATGTATGTATGTATGTATGTATGTATGTATGTATGTATGTATGTATGTATGTATGTATGTATGTATGTATGTATGTATGTATGTATGTATGTATGTATGTATGTATGTATGTATGTATGTATGTATGTATGTATGTATGTATGTATGTATGTATGTATGTATGTATGTATGTATGTATGTATGTATGTATGTATGTATGTATGTATGTATGTATGTATGTATGTATGTATGTATGTATGTATGTATGTATGTATGTATGTATGTATGTATGTATGTATGTATGTATGTATGTATGTATGTATGTATGTATGTATGTATGTATGTATGTATGTATGTATGTATGTATGTATGTATGTATGTATGTATGTATGTATGTATGTATGTATGTATGTATGTATGTATGTATGTATGTATGTATGTATGTATGTATGTATGTATGTATGTATGTATGTATGTATGTATGTATGTATGTATGTATGTATGTATGTATGTATGTATGTATGTATGTATGTATGTATGTATGTATGTATGTATGTATGTATGTATGTATGTATGTATGTATGTATGTATGTATGTATGTATGTATGTATGTATGTATGTATGTATGTATGTATGTATGTATGTATGTATGTATGTATGTATGTATGTATGTATGTATGTATGTATGTATGTATGTATGTATGTATGTATGTATGTATGTATGTATGTATGTATGTATGTATGTATGTATGTATGTATGTATGTATGTATGTATGTATGTATGTATGTATGTATGTATGTATGTATGTATGTATGTATGTATGTATGTATGTATGTATGTATGTATGTATGTATGTATGTATGTATGTATGTATGTATGTATGTATGTATGTATGTATGTATGTATGTATGTATGTATGTATGTATGTATGTATGTATGTATGTATGTATGTATGTATGTATGTATGTATGTATGTATGTATGTATGTATGTATGTATGTATGTATGTATGTATGTATGTATGTATGTATGTATGTATGTATGTATGTATGTATGTATGTATGTATGTATGTATGTATGTATGTATGTATGTATGTATGTATGTATGTATGTATGTATGTATGTATGTATGTATGTATGTATGTATGTATGTATGTATGTATGTATGTATGTATGTATGTATGTATGTATGTATGCATGTATGCATGTATGCATGTATGCATGTATGTATGTATGTATGTATGTATGTATGTAAAGTATCCTCGGGGAGTTTGATTGGTTGTGGCTTTTGCAATCAACCGCAATTATGAGCCCCAATAGAATTTAAATGGATTAAAAGTTGTTTGTTTCATTTATGCGCTCAAAAACAGGTCAAGAATTTTTACCTTAACGTACTTTAAAACTCCTTAAAAAGTTAAGGTAAATTTGCACTATCTTAAGTACACCTTAATTTACCTTAAAACACCTTAAAAATTTACCTTAAATCACCTTAAAAGTTAAGGTGTATCAACCTTGAAAAACACCTTGAAAAAATTTTTTATAGGTAAATTTACCTTAAAAATTTACCTTAAAAAAGTAGGTAATTTAACTACATTAACCTTAACATTAAGGTGTTTTTACCTTAAAGTTTTACCTTAAAAACACAAATGTTAAGGTTAAAAACCTTAAAAGTGAAGAGAATTAAGGTTTTTTACCTTAACATTTAAGGTTATTTTACCTTAACTTTTGTGTTTTTAGGGTAAAAATTTAAGGTAAAAACACCTTAATGTTAAGGTAAATGTAGTTAAATTACCTACTTTTTTAGGGTAATTTTTTAAGGTAAATTTACCTATAAAAAAATTTTTAAGGTGTTTTTTAAGGTAGATACACCTTAACTTTTAAGGTGATTTAAGGTAAATTTTTAGGGTTTTTTAAGGTGTGTTAAGGTGTACTTAAGGTAGTGCAAATTTACTTTAATTGGTAAGGTGTTTTAAGGTATTTTTTAAGGTAAATTTACCTTCACTTTTTTTTAGTGATAAAAAACAATACAATTTTGAGATCTGTGGTAATTTTATATTGTAAGATTTGATTATATAGTTATTTTAATGGAATGTTTTGCATTCTCTTCAATATACAGTCATTACCAATCAAACACTCTAAGACTGTTTCTCCATCAAAATTAATCCATGCTCTACCGATTGTATGTATAAAGATTACACAGATGAGCTACATTTTATAGACAGATTATCTACAAATTATGCACTTGTACTGGTTATATACAGATATATACAGACTATATACAGATTATCTACAGGTTATCTGCAGATTTTATGCAGACTACTACACGCATTGGAGTTCCACAAATAAAAATCGATTTAATTGAGTTTCACTGTCAATTTTCACGAAAGTGAAAAAAAATCGGCTATAATCAGTTAAATAAAGATTATAACATTACGATTTTTCGAGGCAACAAAATTCATTTTAAATCCATGATAGTTGAATTTTTTCACTTTTTCGGACACTGACAAATTTTCAATTATAATTGATTTTTCTCCATTTTATTGAGATGTGAATTTCAAGGCATATAAAGCCTTTTCTACGTTTTAAACTAAAAACTTTTCTACGTTTTGTTTCGCTTTAATGTTACTCAATAGCTGAATTTTGTTCCTTTCAACAATTGCCCGCTTCTATCCCCTCCAATGTTTGCCCCTTTGCCCCCTTTTTACCCTTACACCCGCCATCCCCAACCTGAACCAATCCCAACTCCCTTCAATCAAACGAATCCCATCTGAACTAACACTCAACACCCCCCCCCCCCCACACACACACACCCAACATGAACCGGATCAGAGGGTGAGGGTGTTCAAGTGGATTGGAGGGTTGTTTTTTGTTTTTTCAGGTGCGGGAGTCGGGTGATTCATGTGGGGAAGGGGTCTTTCAGGTGCGGGGGTCGGGTGATTGAAAAGGGGGGGGGGGGGGGTAATCGGGTGTGGGCAGGGGGGTCCCAGAAAGCCAGGTGGGGGGTTCAGGTGTGAAGGGGGGGGGGGGCAACGGAGCAAACGTTGGTATGGGGATTGTAAGGGTTAAAAGGGCCAAATGTTAGGGGGGGAGGTCAACGAAACGCTTTTGCAATTTGAGTTTAGGTTTAGAAATAATAAAGCCGTACACTAACTTAGCAAAGATTTTGCATTACTCATTTCTTAAATGCAGAATTTCGTGCAATATTGGATTTCAAATGAATTATAATGCATTATAAATTTTCGAGAAAAAATGGATTCAAATCCATTTGTTTGTCCAACATAGGAGTCGATTATATTGACAATGTTTTAGACCACAAAAATCCATTATAATCATTTTTTTTTTCACTTTCCTTAGATGCGGGTATATAGTAATTAAACAACACAGATTATATTCTGATTTTCTCAACATGCTCAACCATCAGATAATATGACAAGATTGAAATCAAATAATATTATAGGTTTTTCGAGGAAAATTCTGTACTAGTGTTTGAACTGAAAAAAGAAGTTTGTAAAATCAGTAATGGCGACTTTAGCAACAGAAACCAATTGTTCCAATCCGTTTTTTCTTATTTTTTTTGACGTTTTTTTTTAAATACAATGAAAAATTTGATCCTATTAAGAGAATTTGAAAAAAGTTTTGCAATTTCATATATGTACATTTTTTTGCTAAAATTTGTGAACAAAATTGTTGATTTAAGTTTTAGATGGTCAAAATTGAAATTGTAAAGACCCATGTAGCTCTTAGACAAAACCATCAAATTTTTCGTTCCGTTCGACTTTCGTAACGAAGTAACGGAACATTTGTAATCGGGATGGTTTTTTTCTTCTTTTTCGACTTCTTAACTATTTTTTGGTGGAACTTTTTTCATATCAGTCTAAAGCTATTTTTTTTCCTAATGGCATGTGTGGGGTTGACTTTCACAAAAATTTCTTTTTTTCTTTTTCTACATTTAATTTTATCACGTTTTTACTGCTCCATAGAACTTAATAGGCAATCGGAACATTCAGGGCTTCGCCTTGATACGAGCAGTCTTGTTTAGTTTTTGTACAAAACATATACAATTTATCTACCGAATATCTACCTTCAGATTATCTACATATTAAGCGCAGATTCTATTGTAAAAAATTTTATACTGACTACATACAGATTATCCAAAGATTGTCTACAGGTTTTATTAAATAGAAAAAACTGATTATTTCGGCACTGAAATTTCTTTTTGCTGAAAAAAAAAAAGATTTTATTTTTAAAGAATCGATTATTTTTCGCAAAATGGCTGAAGATAAATCGATTCTATACTTACGGTAGTCTGTAGATTTCCTGCATCTAATTGATTTTATCCATTTTTGTCATTTTCTCAATCACGAATTTCCGAAGTGAATAGAGATTGTTAACTTTTTTTATGCTAATAATCAAACTGATTTTTTGAGGTCAAAAAATGCACTTGAAGACCCAAACATGTCAAACTAGCCTTACAAGGCGAATCTTTTGAAGAATGAAGCTGCAAATCTCGACTTTTTTCTCACTATAAGAATACAGTGTCCCCAAAAACTCTACTACTGGGGCGGTTGAAATCAGTGATCGGTACTCAAAATTAAGAGAAATTGACCTCTTCTTCAACTTACGACAAGGATCGTGTTTTTGGGAGCAGTTGATTTGTTGACCTTCCATATTCAGACACCATATTATGTCGTTGTTTTCTTCAGATGGAATACAAGTATCGTATTTCTTGAAAATGTATGTGAAAGGAAACACACAGACGCTCGACAAATCGTCACTCGGACAGAAACCACATTGATCTGAATCAAAAAGTTTTCTTGTTTTAGTATTATGTTTTTTTTTGTGTTTAATTTGTTTTTTAATTGTGCAAAAGTAACTAAAGCAAGAACTGGATCTAGGGTTTGAGTAAATGATGGAAAAGGGACGGCCATTCCAAATTATTATAGAAAATTTGATCAGCGTTTTTGATGTGCCGGTCAAATTTAATTACAATCTGGAAAAACGTTTACAAAATTTTGACCAAAAAATACCTTTGCATTAATAATTTGGCAAAATTAGCGAGGCAAAAAGTAAACCATAGTAAAACTTACTTCAGATGAAAGGGCACATCTTCAACTGATAAAAGTTGTCAAATGCTCTTTTTCGTCACCCTTTACTAAATTTCGAGTTGTTTTTTCAAGTTTTCAGTAATTTAGGTAAAACTCTTGTTACTATAATATTTTGTAACGTTGTTGTTCCGGCCATTATCAATGAGGAGGAGCTTTGTCTTTGGGTATGAATTTTTTTCTTTTTTGTTTTACATAGAGTACCAAAAATTGTCATCGGAATGAGTCGAGTGATACTGATACATCATTGTGAAACCTTTTCATCCGTGATTCGAACACTTGAAACACTACACTCAATGAAAAAATGACTTTTAAAAACTCTCAGAATCGAAAAAATTTTACAGCGAATGAACTTATCCAGCAGGCATATTTTGTTTTTCAACCAAAATCAGTAAACATAACAATCATTGGAATGTGTCAAATGATACGTCATGTTAAATTTTTTTCAGTGGCGATTCAAACAAAAGTTTATATTTTCCGCAAAGTTTTTTTCTGTTGAGAAAACATTTTAAAATTTTTGAGTTGCAGTCTAATTTTGAGGGGGTAGAGCAAACGAGAAGGTCTGGTGAAAAGCTTAGCTTTACTCCAGGAAAAATATTTTTGAAGCTTCCATGATAAAATGAAGACTTTAATAAATCATACTGCAAAATATAACAAAAATTGTTTCCTTTTTTTCACTTTTGTTGTTCATCTATTTTTCAATAACAGCTATTGTCGATTATGCCTAATTCATTAACCGTCTACGTGTTTGATTAGTTTTATCATCATAACAAAAAATACGATTTTTTATGGGCCAGATCATTTTGTGATGCTTGAAAAGAAAGCGGCTAACTTTATTCAAATATAATAATTTTCAAGTCTGGCGTTGATAATTGTACGCTTACATGCTCTAAATGTCAGCAAAATTTTTTTAGATTAATTTCAAAAGGTTACGTTAGTTTCTCTTTTTAGATAGTCAGCTATCATATCAGAAACATGGGCAGACAATAAATGTTTTCATATATACAGGTTCAGGTAAACTTGAAAATCAGATTAAATTGTGAGTTATGACCGAGGTGGTTAACTCATAGAGTAATTTCGGATAGGGTACACCGTCTGCTCGTCACGCTATCTTATTTTCGGCCGGATAGATTCGTGCAACTTCTTAGTCTAATACCGATCCTAATCTTACTCTTATACTATCTAGTCTCAGGTTGTTTAACTAGTCTCTGCTAGGCTCAATAGATCTAGGGTATACTGGTTTATTGCGGCTGCTGAAGTTCCTTTGGAGAGGCAACTAAATTCTAAGTTGAATTCAAATCTCTCTGGTGCTGAAATTACAAGTAATTTCAGCACTTACAAATAAGTGGGTCGTTAGTTAGATGGATCATGATTGGTTAATATTAAATACTTTACAGTGGTAAAATATCTAATTTATCCAATCATAATATGTAGTTTAGATCAGGTTCCACCCATCCGGGTTTTACAGAGTTTTTTTAGAATAGTCTTTCTGCAATTCAAAGGATGGATGATGGACGTTGGGATTTGGCGAACATCATATTTCTTCTGGGTTCTCTTGTTAGAGAAGTTCCAGGTTCAATCGCTGTGTCTTCTCATGACAACGACTGGGTTTTCGCAACAAACTCAAATCTGATTTCAGAATGGTTGGCTATGACAGGTTTTTCTGTTCCATGTTGAGAACTTCTTTTGGGTTGACCTTGTCTGGGAATGGCGTGGAGATTGTGCGTGGAGGGGTTGCCTGGTTACTCGGATCTGTACGTATACTTGAACATCGAGGTGGTCATTGTTCTAGTTCAATGAAGTCCTTTTCTGCGAAGTCAAGTCGTACTCTAAATCCTTTGAGTTGTGATTGTGGGCGGCATATTGATTGTGGTTGGCCATTCTTTTTTGAGTGTAGTGGGTTCATTTTGTCTTTGGATGTTCGTCTTTGGTGTTGTATGCTGATCTATATACTGCAAGGTGTAATTTACATTTTATAAAATTTTTATTAGTTTGGTGTTTTAATTATGATTTTGGTTAGTTGTTTTCATAAAAGCTTTTTGTTTTAGTTCGGGTATTTTGAAGAGTTACTCACCCTTGAGTACCTCTTATTAAAAATAGAAGTGTGGTCACAAAGCGTGGATGTAGCGCGGTGGGTTAGGCTGGCTATAGAGCATGCTCAGGACGTCCTCTCTGGTGGGTTAGGCCAGGAGTGGGAGTATGATTTCGTGCGGTTTCTGTGAGAGGTCCTGTTATGTGATAACGTTTTATGTTGGGTTTATTGTGGTTTTTCTTATGTTTCGTTGGTTGTGTCCTTTTTTCAAAAATCAAATTGTTTTTGGTATGGGTTTGTCTTTCGACTTTTTTGTGTTTTATTATTTCTTTCTTAGACTTTATAATAGTCTTCAAAAGAATAAATTATCCAGTTTTAAACTGGGTTAATCCGGTTTGGGTACCGTTGGTTTCCTTTTCTTAGTCATGCTGTTATTCTATGTGTTGTGGTGTTTAGTAAGCTGCATTGGTTAGTTTTGTTTAGTATATAATTCCTTTCCAACCGGGTTAAAGGAAAGATTGAAACTTGTTATCGTGTGTTAGAGTTGTTGAGTGTGAAAGCTTGAAACTAAAATTCATTATTTAAACAATTCTTCCTGGGCGAGCTGTGCGAGTTTGGATAGAATTCTTGTGCGAGTGAATGGAAATATCAAAAGGTTAGTACTGCATTTTCGTCTTATCAATTTACTACATAGAATTTCAATTTTACTGCTATTTTGGGGACAAATTAAGTTACAAATTTTCATCATTATTAGAATTACTGCTTTTAGGGAAATAATTTATAAATTAATTTACTACATTTGTATGAAATTTATTTAATTTAGCTGGTGCAAAAGGTTATTAGAGTTTTGAACAATTTGAAGAAGTTTTCTATTTTTTATTTTTCTTTTGTGTATTTAGCAGATGATCGTGAGATGAAGACTAAAAATCTAAATGAGACATGGATAAGAATGGTTAGTTTTTTAATTCGAATTTATTAGTTAAGAATATGTATAAATTATACTTACCTGTTAGTCGTCGGGGAAAAAACCGTGGGGGAAGATGTCGTGTATTATGTCGGAGCTAGTTAGTAATTTTGCTAGTATGCGAATGATGTTTTTAGTTTGAAGCAGTGGCCAAAGCAATTGAAGTGCTTTAATGGTTTTTAGTTCTTCAGTGCCAACTGCAAAATCATAAGGTGTGTTTTGGATGAGATTATATAATTTGTGATTGTATTTAGTGTTGTGGATGAATTCTAATATTGGGATTTCTATAGGTTGAACAAATTCATGTGGGATAAGGAAGGGTCTGGATTCTTCTGCGTTGAAGGTCTTTGTGATGGGACAAAAAATATACATTTGGGTTATGGGATCATAATTGCGAAGAATACCGTGAAGGTTAGTATCTTTGATGCAATATGTGAAGTTAAGAAAAAAAAATGGTGAAGTGTACTTAGAGTTAATAAATTGGAAACGGTGGTGTGGTTGTCTTGATGGAGTGTGTAGATCAAAGTGATTTTGTATGAAGCGATAATATGTATATGTGTGGGTTTGTTTAGTGCGTAACATAATATCGTGTGAGCAGTGCAAATCTCGTTCATGTGGTGCAAGGAAATGAAAGGTTAGTGAAAATAATTGAAATTTTTCTATAAAACTTTCGTAAGCTTGTGTGTCGGTTAGTGCTTCAGAAATGATGTGATCGAATTTGCGATCAAATATATTGAGTGTAAATACATATGGTGTTTTGATGAAGAATTTTTCTGTGATTTGTGGGTTAGCGAAACGGTCATCATCTAAAAATTGGTCTTGGTTAGCTCGGATGATGTTGTGATCGTAATATTCTAGCGTATATTCGTTAGCTCGGGGTGCAGTGTATGTTTTTAGTGACTTTTTATATCCTATATAAGTAAATTGTCTATGTGTTAGTGGCATGGTGAGTCGATATAGCATATCTTTATTTCTTTCTATATCGATACGAGTGTTAGATAAAGGTAGGCAAAGGGGGTTAGTAAAATGATAATATGATGTCCAATGAAGTGTAGGCATTAAAACTTGTTCATCTACAAAACTACGTGTGTCGTTAGTGTTGTTAGGAGTGTTCAAAGTATATTGTGGAAATGAAGGTAGGGTGATTGCTAAAAAATCTTTCGTGTTAGTGTGATTTGGATGATTAATATATTCACGGGCTGTTCCTGGTTTTGTTGGAAATGGATGGTTCGGGAACTTTCTTTTGAAAGTGCGATAAGCTCTATTAGTGCTATTTGATGATTCGGTGGATGTGGATGATGGTGCTAATGATGCGGTATAAGCTGATGAGGGTGTAGGGGTAGGTGGGTTTGATGATTCTATTGTGGATGAAATTTGATTTATAGTGGGGTTTTCAAGGTGGAAGGGTTGTTGCTGTAGGGTGATAAAATTATCTAGTTCCTGGGAGATTTGGGGAGTATCTGGAGAATTGGATGATCGGTCTGAATGAAATGAAGAGTAGGTTGGGGTGACTTGTGAAGCATAAGAGGGTGTAGAAATGGATGGAAGTGGGTTATTTGACGGGATTGGTTGAAAAGGGGGTTTTGAAAAAACTGAGGAGTTGGTTTGAAAATTATTGGATGGAGATGGTTCAGAGTCTGCAAATTCATCAGGGGTTTCAATATTTGGGTTATTGAGTTGTAAAATGGAGTATAAAAC